GCTCAAGGCTAGTGCTCTACCACTTGAGCCACAGCGCCACTTCCGGCTCTTTTCTTTTTGCTTATGTGGTGCTGAGGAATCGAACCCAGGGCCTCGAGCATGCAAGGCAAACGCTCTACCACTGAGCCACCTTCCCAGCCCCCCTCAAAACCATTTTTAAAAGCAGTCCTTAGTTAAAAACCCAAGCCTCAAAGTCATTAACACATACCTGTTTGTTCCTTTTCTAGTTTTTTGTTTGGCCCTTTCTTTCCTTGGTCTTTGGTTTTATTTGCTTCCTCATGCTGTCTTTGTTCAGCAAGAGATTTATTCAGCACTTGTGTGATGACAGAATCTCCTTCACCAACCAAAAACATGTTCTTAAACTTGTTATACAACATTGTAGACTTCTCCATAATAACTTGACTAACTTTGAATCGTCGTATCTGAGAAAATAATAAATACCATGATTTTCCCTAATCAGTTTATACTTTTGAAAAAATGAGAAAAAATTTTAGAAGCCTATGAGTTGAAATCACTTACTTTTTTCAGTGTTGTAATCATTTCTGTGTGTTTCTGAGCTTGTTGCATTGTGACCTGAAGTGAAGCAAGTTCATCCAAGGCTTCAATGCATCTGTTCACATCCTTTAGGCGAAACAAAAATGTCATAACTGTCAGTTACCACAGTATGTGTGTGTGTGTGTGTATATATATATATATATATATATATATATATGTTCATATATATATACACACTTATACATATATATAACCTATTTCTGAAGATTTTTTTATAAACTCAAGGCAGTACAGATGACCAGTCATTATCCCTTTTATGCTAAAGTTGCATATTTCTACAATCATGTAAGAAATAGAAAACTTAAAGCAGCACTGTAGTTTTAACACTTACAAGATTATCGATTTTGAGTGAATTTTTAATTTCAGCATGTATCCTTTGAAGTCGGGAATCCATTGATGTTTCTATAAATTTAAGTATGTGAAAAACAGTAAATAGTTTTTTCCCAAACTAATATTTCTGTACAGTCTCAGCAAAACATAATGCAAAGAAAAAATTTCTTAGTAATCTTTACTAAGCAACTCAAAGGTTACCCTGCTCTTTTGAACAGATGGCAACTTGCTACATCAAAGCACAAAATTCCCCTATAGCTCCATTTTCTAAAATAAATCTGTATCCAACAATGAACTCCTCTACTATGCACCAAGCTAAAATATAATCTGCTTTACCTTATGCATAAGTTGAAGGAATTTGTACTGGCAGTTACAAAAACCTGACATTAAACAAACATTGATATAAAGTCTTCAAAGTTCACCCGAAATGTTCAATTTATATAAATCCACTAGGATTTGAAACAGTGTACTTGTAGAGAATACACAAAAAATGATATGTAAGTTCAAACCCAATAGAATTTATGTATGTAACTATAATCTTATGTATCTTAGAAAGTGAAATAACTAACCTCGTTTCTTCTCCACTTTCTTAACTTCTGGCTTCTTTCCTTCATCTTTATTCTGCCTATCAAATGTTAACACAAATATTTCAAATCAATGGAACCTTGTGACTCTTATTACCAATACCCATAAAAATTACCAAGTGCCTATTGTCCCTATGTAAATGTAAAAAAATTTCCATAAACTAATATTTGAGACCAAAGGGAACTGACTAGTTTTCATAACTATGCATTAGCATAAATATAAGTAAAATTTGAACATGCTAAATTTAGTCTCTTCTTAAATTTTGGAGGTATGGAGGTTTGAACTCAGAGCTTTGTGTTTACTAGGCAGGTGGTCTACCACTTAAGCCACGCCTCTAGCTCTTTTTGCTGTGGGTTATTTTGGAAATAGGGTCTCACTCCACATTCCCACCCTAACCCTCAGCTGGTGTGAACCATACTTCTGTAGCTGGGATGGCAGCCATATGCCACCACACCCCACTTCTTTTCTATTAATATTGGGATCTCATGAACTTTTTTTTCTGTCAAGAGTAGCCTGGAACCTTGGTCCTCCCAATCTCAGCTTCCCAGGTATCTGGGATGACAGATGTGAACTAGTACACTTACAATGAGATTTCACATTTTGCCCATGTAGGCACATTAAACTGAGATCCTCTCTATCTCTGCTTTGCTAGGTTTACATGTATGAGCCGCTTGTGCCCAGTAAATGTAATTTTTTTAGTGACAACACAAAATGATTTTGAAGTTATCAGAGTGAAATTCTCTTTCCAACAATAGATGTTAAAAGTTTAGTTTCAAGATCAATGGATAAGCAAGCTCCAACAGTTAAGAAAATACCTATTAACAAAAGTCATTTTAAAAAGGTCAAAATTGACCAACTGAATTATTTTCCATATACTTAAAGGACAGTTTGAGGGGTTTTGAACTTGGCTTCAATATTAACTATATTACATTACGATTGTACTGTGATTTCTTTAATTTTTAATTAGATCAGGGACAGGCCAACAAATCAAATGACAGCCATTTTACATACCATTTCACAAATGAAAAGGTACCACTTCAGTGTAATCACAAAAATAACCACTTAAAATTGCAATATTAATTTCTAATACCATAGCTCAGAGCTCAGGCCATATTATGAACCAATTAAAATAGACAAGAACAAAAAAAATACCTAAAAATCAGGTTTTTTTTTTTAAAAAACTTTATTTTAAAATTTTGGTTACAGTTTCATATTGTACTTAACACGTCTACTGGTTAACCTCTCAGGATTAAAAAAAAAAACAAGATTCTAAAGAAGTGAACAACAAAGAAATGTCAAGGAAAGGGCACAACTTGCCCCATTCTTAGGGATTCCAGTTCTTAGCTATTCCAGTTTAATATCTAGCTTCAAAACAAAACGAATTTTTATATTTTCTAAATGAAATAATGTACAACCACCAACTTTATCTACGCTTATAACTTCCAAACACAAAGCTTCATCTTAAGCTTGGTTTAAAAAAAAAAAAAACAGGAATGATGGCCAACCTTAATATGTAGTGTGTACCTTACAGGAAATTTTGTTAACAATCATAACACAGTAATAATGCCATTAATAGTGAAGTCCTCAATTTAGAATCTGGAACATTCTTCCATCAAGGGGGGGGAGGGGGAAATTCAGTCCAATGAGTCTGTCTCAAGATCTTCATCTCTGGTTTGCTCCACTTGTATTCTCTTTTCAGTTACTGGATTAATGCTTTGAGCCCAAAATGAGATATATTTTTTATTACTGTAGATTACATGTTGTTTGGCTGGGAATACAATACAATAAACTTTATTTTGCATAATGCATTTCACACAAGATGCATCTGAAATGCTTTACAGAGCAAAACTGTCCAAGTACAAAGTTTTGTAATAACAGGAGAAGGAAAGAAAACACAAATATTAGAATTCGAGAAAGTCACATTGGAGGACATTCAAAAGAAGCTGAAATACATAAAGAAAACTGAGATACTGAAAGAAGATTGGGCTAGATTTACTAAGCAACAACTAATTTGGGGAGCACAATGACGTTAAAAGCAACAAACAGTCCAACAACTTTTCAGTGGAAAGATAGAAAGGGATAGGTAACAAAAAACTAATACATGTAAGTGGTCCAAATCTAACATTACTGGGAGTAACATTTTTGTGAGATTTAATTTTCAATTACTCCCTCAAGTAGCTGAAACTGCTTATATGTCCTCCAAATAACTAGGAAGCAGTCAATGTACTTGGCTTTTGGCATAGGGATGCATTATATAAAGAAAAACATAAAATTATGATTAGAGCTTCATTGCTCATATTGTCTCAGTATGACCTGGAGCATATTTTTTAAATTACCTCCACTAAGTAAGAACAAAAAAGCAAAGTTTGATCAGAGTGGAAGACACTTCACAGAGCAAGTATTTTAGAGAAAGAACTCAGAAATGACAGTATAAAGGTTACTAGGAAAACAAATGTAATAAAAAGACATGAAGTCTAATCATTTTCATTGCTATCACTTTCCCATTAAATTATATAATAAAGGGGAACAATTCCCCATGGTAAGTATATACTGTTCTCCAAGTATTAAAACAAAGGGAAAAAATTGAGCTTGATTTATATTGCACACATCAAATGCAAACCTTATAAAATATTTTTATTTACTTTTACTGACTTTCTGGACTTCCAACTGTGCTTTAGGGTTTTTTTGCTGGTCTTTAGGGGTAGGCTTGCTGGTGGTATAACCAAAAAGAGTATTTCCTGCTTTCTTTCTCCACCAACATTATTATTGCCATTCTTCTTATACTCAGTATATTATACAAACAGCAGAGGATGAGTATATTTTCTGCAAACCACTAGAAGTTAAAAACTATACTCCAAATTAAAAAATAGTTTTCTGCCTCAGTGAATTTCATTTTCAGAAAACAGTGAAGCCTGAAATATATGTATGGAAGCTTTTTTCTAACATGGGAAAAGTAAGTTTAAAAGGCTTCAAAAACTCTGGAAAAGTCTACTGTTTAAAAATGTTCATGCTAGCCTTAGGGAAAAACGCAAGTTTTAGCAAATAAAAAATACTTACTGCTCGGTTTCCATTTGTTCCTCTTGCTTGCGTTTTCGATCTGCTGCTTCTTTCTCATGTTGGCCCTTCAGCAGATTCCTCCTGTGAGCAGTCTGAAAGTTTCTTCCACCCTTTCTCTTCTGTTTTATTTGAAAATTAGGACTTGCGTAAGTATTGAGTCGGTGACTAGTAGCACTAGTTAAAACTTTTTTGAGGAGAAGTAATTTTTAGGGAGAAATACTTTTATGACTGTGGAAGTAATAGGCAACTTTTTGTCCAGGCATGTATGTGATTGCTTTTAAAGTACAGCAGACTATCTGACTCAGTGCAGTGTTTTAATTTGAATAGGCATACTACTCAGCTAAAATTTTTTGGTTTCTAAAATATTAAGATATGAGACAAAGGGGGCTGGGAAAGTGGCTCATGGTAGAGCGCTTGCCTAGGATGCATGAGGCCCTGGATTTGATTCTCAGCACCCCATAAGCAGAAAAAGCTGTTAGTGGTGCTGTGACTCTAGTGGTAGAGTGCTAACCTTGAGCTGAAGAGCTGAGAGACAGTGCCCAGGCCCAATGTTCAGGCCCCACAATTGACCAAAAAAGAAAAGAAAAATTAAGAAAGGAAGGACACAAGGGGCTGGGAATGTGGCTCAGTAGTAGAGTGTTTGCCTTGCATGCATGAGACTCTGGGTTCAATTCCTTAGTACCACACAAGCAGAAAAAAAAAAAGTGGTGCTGTGGCTCAAGTAGTGGAGCCTTGAGCTGAAGAGCTAAGGGACAGTGCCCAGTCCCAGACTTCAGGCCCCACAACTGGACCAAAAAAAAAAAAAAGACAAAAATCAGAAAGAGGATGATACAGTGAGAGGCTAAATGATCCATGTAACTCAACTGAGCAATTGTACACATAACTGGACATGTTAAATTGAAACCCCCTCAACAAATAAAACATGTATCTGTGACTTGGATCTATACATTCTAAAGGCTAAACACAAAATTGTGGGGGTTTTGTGTGTGCATGTTTTTAAAAAACAAAAGGATACATAGCTTTTTAGTTCTTGGTCATGGGGCTTGAACTCAAGGCATGGGCACTGTTCCTGAGCCGTCAAGGCTAGTGCTCTACTACTTTGAGTCGCAACTCTATATCTGGTTTTCTGATAGTTAATTGGAGAGAAGTCTCATAGACTTTCCTGCCCAAGGTGGCTTTGAACATCCCACTCTTAGATCTCAGCCTCCTGAGTAGCTGGGATTACAGATGTGAGCTACTGGTCCCCGGCTGACACATGGCTTTAGTAAGATTCCTGAATGGCATCCAAATAGTTACACATCACTGATATAAAAGGAATGATGAGGAGGATTTCCTGGGGTAAAATTTAAAACTCTGCAGGCTTGAGGCATAGCTAGCAAATACAAGGCCACAAGTTCAAAGACAATACTACAAAATAAAACAAAAATAAATAAATAAATACACCTTTTAACCTTTGTTGTCCTGGTCACAGCCAACTTGACTCAGTTCTAGTGATTTTAGGTAAGTAGATTATTGGAACATTTCCAAATCCTAATTATGGAAGGGCAAGTTCAATTTAGAATCAAATATAAATGAAAAAGTTTTTTTAATGTCTATTCAGAAATAGACCCAAATTACCTTTTGTAAAAATAGTAAAAGCTTTCCAAGTAAAGATTAAAAACTGCATCAGAAACCCAAAAATAAAACAATTTTTATACGGTATATAAACATTCTACCTTTTCACCTTCTTGATCATCTCCTTCTTCTTCAGAATCAGATGTTGAAGTAACGCCTGTTTTAGCTAAATTTTTCCTTTTTGATTCAACTTCTTTCTTTCCTTCCTTTTTGTCTGGTTCTTTTCTTGGTTTATCTTCTTCCTTCTGTCCCTCTTCATCCTTTTTAAGCTGCTTCTTAGGTGGTTTTTCCTCTTGCCCCTTTTTCTTACTTTTGTCTTCCTCGGGGATCCTATTTTTAAGAGTCCAACAATGGAAAGTGAATTCGTCTTTCATCTGATTTCGTCATCAAGTATTTCAGAAATGAATTATAGCAATACTGATATGTAAAAACAAACACCTTCATGTAAAATGGTGTCGTACCATATCATAGAAGAATACTGTAACAAAATAGCCTCTTGGTATAAATTAAAACATTTAAGATTATAGAGACACTAAGGTTGATAGAAACAGAGTTCTCCACTTTCCAAGCTTCTTTTAATATGATTCACTTGTTCAGAAAAATAGTTAAGTTCCTTGTGCACCAAGGAACTGTTTTTAATCCTAGGATACCACAGCATATAAACTGTTCTTTTGGTGCTGGGAATTGGAAACAGGCCCTTGTGTATGCTAGGCACATGTTCTTCCACCAAGATTCACCCAGCTTCAATTTATGGAGTTATATTCTATATATTTGTACAAGTGAGTATTGCCTTAAAAGCTGGGAAAAAAATAAAACTGTAGAAGTGAAATCTAACACAACTATCTTGAAATTCAAAGAAATACTCTTGGGTTTTTTTGAGGTATTAGGACTTGAACTCAGGGCCTCACATTTACTAGTACTCTACCATTTGAGCAATCTTCAGCCCTCAAAGAAGAAATGGTTTTAAGCATATAATGGTAACTATGGCTAGTCAGTTAAAGCACAGTATCTAACAGTGGTGAGCAGAATAGCAACCAAGTATTCGATGAGCACTTGATTTCATAAACATCACTAAAAAATTACTGACTTGTTTTAGTATTTAATCACTGACTGCTCGTTGTTTATGCAAATTTGAACAGCAGATAGAAGCTCTAGGAACATCAAATGAACTATCCATGGCATTTATGTATAATTAAGAGTAGTTCCTTTGTACACATTTCAACTTAATGCCTTCTTTAAAAACTGTCCATGGAATTTTATTAAAATTTCCACAAATTATACAATTAAACCAATGAATTTTAGAGCTGAAAAGGACCTCCAGTTGCTTCCACACTTGAAAACTTAGAAAATAAAGTTGCAAAAGTTGTATAATAAGCCCAATAATCTCAATTCCAAATCTACTGACCTCAAGGGCGTTTGATATTACATCTGGTGGATGCTAAGGACCAAGCCCAGGGCATCTCATGTATGCTAGATAAGCACTCTATAACTGGACTAGGTGTCAGTTTTTTAAAGCATAAATCTAAGCCAGGTGCCACTACTATGATCCTAACTATTCCAGAGGCTGAGACCTGAAGATTGCTATTTGAATCCAGCCCAGGCAGGAAACGTCTGAGAAACTCTTATCTCCAATTAAACCCCCACACCCCCCAAAAAACTGGACGTTGAGCTGTGGCTCAAATGGTGCAGTACTAGCCTTAAGCACAAAAGTTCAGGGAGAGTGCCCAGGCCCAAGTTCAAGCTCAAGGATGCCTGCCCCCTCTTCAAAGCATAAATCTAGATATGGAAAAGATCTTTAAAATTATAATAGCTATACACCAAAATATGTAGCATTTGAAGTGACTTTTAGGCCTATGTCTCAAAATTCTGAAGCTGGATTATATAGCTCATTGTTATAATAGTACATGTTTCAACAGGTATGAGATGACCCTAGGGGTTGATCTTATGACCACCAAAGACAGTTAAGTTAGGTGTGGCTATCCGTGCTTGTAGTTCCAGCTCATCCAGGTGAGTTGAGACAGGATCATTTGTGCCCAGGATTTTGGGATCAACCTGAGCAACATAAAATACTATCATAAGATCATAAGAGATTGTTTTTCAAGGTTTTACAAACAGTATTAAAGCAAAGAATTCAGTACATCATCAACAGCTTTTTCCAAATGATCCTTCTTGCCACACCTTCCCTGAATTACAGACACATGAACATTTCTCTTTGCATTAGTTCAAGTGATACTAATAAAAATTAATTTGATTATCTTTGTACTAGTTCAAGTTATACTAATAAAATTAGTTTGATTATGTCAATTGAAAAACAGATCCAAACACTCCGTGGCACAAGGATCCAGCAGCTCACGTTAGTAATCCTAGCTACTCAGGAGGCTGAGATCTGAAGATTATAGTTTGAAACAAGCTGGGCAGGAAAGCCAAGGACACAATTATCTGCAACTAGTAGCACCAAAAAAACTGGAAGTGGAACTGTGACAAGTGGTCGAGTGCTAGCCTTGAGCAAATAAGCCCAGAGACTACACAGGTTCTGAGTTGTTATGCCAAGGACACCCCTCAACACACCCAAAGATCTCAGTAACTCACAACCAATATTTCTCAATTTCTAAATCTAGCCTTTTATTCCACTTAGTGCCCAAATTTACAATCAATAGTAACTATGGCCAACATCCAGCTGACTCAAGATGTAATGTTGTAAACTATTGGATTTTAGGATTATTTAGTCTAAACAAAACAAAACCTCACTATAGGGCCTGAAAACTTTAGCTACTTGAAAAGTTGTAACAGGATTAAGGTTTGAGACCAGCCACAAGATTAAAGAGTAACCCTATCTGAAAAATAAGGAGAACATGAGATGTGAATACTGCAGTACCTAAGCAATCAGGGAAGAAAAGTCCAATTATCTTATCTCCAATTAACTACCAAAAAGCCAGAAGTGGAGCTGTGGCTCAAGTAGCAGAGTACCATCTTTGAGTGAAAAGCTAAAGACAGGAGAACCAAGGTCCCCCAGTTCAAGCCCCAAAAATTGTTTTTGTTAAAACCAAAGTAAATCCTTTAATTCTAGCTGAGACAAAAATTTAAGACCTTATCTCAGAAAAATGTTAAAAAACAAAAGCCCTAGAGCTCAAATGGAAAGGTAGAACACTGGCAGGAGAAGCCCTGAGTTCAAGCCCCAGTAACACAAAATACTAAATTTCGCTCTCAAAACTAGTAACACAATCAAAAAATCTAAAATATGCCATTCACTATGGATCAGATAAAATGGAAATCCTCATTTATTAATTTTTTTCAATGCTGTTTATTGAACTCAGGTCCTCCTGCAGGCTGAGCAAATGTTCAACTAAATGAGCTACCCGAGCTACCCCTCCTTGGTTCCTTTAAAAAAAAAATTTGGGGGGGGGGTGTCAATAGTAGGGCCTGAGCTCCAGGCCTGGACTCTGTCCCTCAGCTCTTCAGCTCAAGGATAGCACTCTACCACTTGAGCCACAGCACCACTTCCAGCTTTTTCTGCTTATGTGGTACTTAGGAATTGAACCCAGGGCCTCATGCATGCAAGGCAAGCATTCTACCACTGAGCCACATTTCCAGCCCTCCTGAGCTCCTTTACAAAGATATTATTCCATCAGTAAAACCAGAGCTTTGAGATGTATTCAGCCCTCATGGCTTGGGATGATTAAAATTAGATTAAAATTAGATCAGCTTAACTAGATCATCACTAGGCTTTAAAAAAAAAAAAAGAGTGAGAGGCTGGGAAGGTGACACCTGCCTTGCATGCATGAGGCCCTGGGTTCGATTCCTCTGCACTAAATAAGCAGAAAAAGCGGGAAGTGGTACTATGTATGGTTCAAGTGGTAGAGCGCTAGCCTTGAGGTGAAGAGCTGAGAGACAGCACCCAGGCCCAGAGTTCAGGCCCCACAACCAACCAAAAAGAAAAAAAAAGATTTGTTAAAGAATAATTTCGTTTTTTGCCAGTCCTGGGGCTTGAACTCAGGACATGAGCAACGTTCCTGATCTTCTTTTGCTCAAGGTAAGCACTCTACCACTTGAAGCCACAGTGCCATTTCCAGCTTTTTCTGTGTATGTAGTACTGAGAAATCAAACCCAGGACTTCATGCATACTAGGCAAGCACTCTACCATTAAGCCACATTCACAGCCCAATTGTTTCAAGATCCTAAAGGATATAGGATTTTTAAATTCAGTCTGGTGTCAGAGTTCAGATCAAGGGTATGACTGTCAGATTTAATTCAAAATGGGCTGGCTTCATTTTTCATGGCTCCTAAGGGTTGATTTCTCATAAAAACCTATAAATTCAATGTATCTATAATTAAAGTACAAAAAGATAAGCACATCTGAGGATACCTTACAAATGAGACCATTGTCAAGGAAGCTGACCAAAATAATAATAATAATGAAGTCCTGTACTACCAAAAATGACACCAGTTTGTATCAAGAGAAAGTGAGCTCTCAATAAGAAACACTCCCCAGTTTGTATCCAGAGAAAATGAGCTCTAAATAGGAACACTGAGCTGAAAAAAACTACTCAGTGGATAAGAGAAATGTTTTCCTACATGTCAGATACAACTCTAGATGATAGTGAAAAAGCAGAGAATCTCCACAGGAATCAGCAAAAAGTCATGGAGATGGGGCTGATACAGCATACTCCCAAGGAAAAACAAGATTCAACCAGGAAATGCTAAAATAGGAAGACCTCACAATATATTCCTGGAATTTAATATTTCCTTCCTATAAGTGACTGTTACCTACAATCTCACTGCAGCATCAAACCATATTGCTCTTTTTTTTGGGGGGGGGGCGCGGGAGAGGGGTTGGTTGTGGGGCTTGAACTCGGTCTGGGCACTCTTCAGCTCAAGGCTAGTGCTCTACCACTTGACCCACAGCACCACTTCTGGTTTTCTGGTGGTTATTGGAGATAAAGAGTGTTTCCTGCCCGGGCTAGCTTTCAATCGTGATCCTCAGATCTCAGCTTCTTGAGGAGCTAGGATTACAAGCGTGAGCCACCAATGCCCGGCATTTCAAAACTATTTTTATTTTTTAGTCAGTTGTGGGCCTGAACTCTGGGCCTGGGCGCTGTCCCTCAGCTCTTCAGCTCAAAGCTAGTGTTCTACCACTTCAGCCATAGCGTCACTTCCGGCTTTTTCTGCTTATGTGGTGCTGAGGAATCGAACCCAGGGCCTCATGCATGCAAGGCAAGCATTCTACCACTGAGCCACCTTCCCAGCCCTTCCAGACTGTTTTTAAGTAAATCACCTATTCCAGAGAATCTAAAAGGACTGGTGAACATTGCATTATGAAATTCTTCAGCATATTACTTTACCTAAGTAAATTTATGTCTTTATATACCAAGAAAATCAATTAGTCCAATAAAGATAAATAGATTTTTATTCCCTAAGTTTTCATTCTTTTCAAAAATTTTTGTTCCCCTACCTTATCAAAGTATCAAAATAGTAACACAATAGCAATAGAGCAATACTCTATAAAACAAGAAAAAACTGGTAAAAATGAAAAGTGATCAATGTACATTTACAGTCCAAGTTTTAATTTATTAAGTAATTATACATTAAAATAAACTCACATGTCACTCTCTGAAGGACAGGGCTGTTTTACCATTTTAGGTCTGCCTCTTGGTTTTGGAATCTTGACTTCAGTGGCTAATATTCATGTGGGGAAAAAGACCATTACCAATTTCCCTTTAAAATTGCAAATATCACATAGAATGATTACAAATGATACATACTATATATATTTATTTAGCAGATTACAGATTCAATTACTTGCAAGTTTTAGAAACAATGTCATACTATGGATCAAATGAGAAACAGTAAACAATTTATAGATATAGAGTTATATTCGAATTGTCCTTATTAAGTCTGAGAGAGTTTAAAACATTTTTAATTGCTATTTTAGCAGCAACAAAACTCAATTTCAGGAAGTTATCATTTATAATTAACACTCATGTACATATCATGTATATTTACACAAATATCTTTGGAAGTGAATCAGAACTCACTTTTCTAACACAATTTAATACAAGAATGAATTCCAAAATATTACATAAGTAAATCTCAATCCTTTTGTTCACTTGCTAGTAAACACAAACTAGTATGGCATATATGATGTCAATAGGCCATATAACCTTAATGGAATCACTGTGGTATATGTGGACTGTTAACTTTTTTCAGTAAAAATCTTATTATGAAGTAGAAAAAAACAGTTCTATTTTGGCTAGGTTTTATTTCCTTCATATTAGTCAAGAGCTTTTCAAGATTCTTTCCAATTTGACAAAGAAAATACTAAGCTGGGTGCTGATGGCTCACGCCTGTAATCCTAGCTACTCAGGAAACTGAGATCTGAGAATTGAGGTTTGAAGCCAGCCAAGGCAGAAAAGTCCATGAGACTTATCTCCAATGAACTACTCAGAAAAAGCTGGAGTGGTAGAGCACTAGCCTTAAAACACAAAGAGGCCCAGAGACAGCATCCAAATTGTTCAAGGAGAAGGGAGGGAGGGAAGGAAGGAGGGAGGGAATACAAAGCATATTATGAATATACAAATAAATAGACTAAAGTAATTAAAATATTAACTACTAAGCATACTATATATATGAACACAAAATATAGTAATTACAAATTTTAACAGCAGTTAAAACATATGCTGTTTTTCAGTCTTTATGACTCCATTTGGAAATCTTACACCTCTCTATAAGTAATAGGTAAAATAAATATATTATTCCCAGAAGTTTTAACTTCCTAATAGACTCACTTAAAATGATTTGGTAAAGATTTAATGGGGGCAAAACAAAGAATTATTTCAAACTCAAATGTTCTGACTCAAAGCAGAAACTGAGATCTCCTTTGGAATTATTACATTACAGTCTTATACTGACTATATTTTTGTCAAACACAGATTACATATACAATAGTGGTTCTCTAAGATTATATGACCTACTGCTGTTACAGTCCATCCTAGTTTTAAGTACATTTAATATATTTTCACAGCAAAGGAATTGCCTAATGACTCACTTTTCAAACACCATCTATATCCATGTCAATAAGTTAACCCAATGGCTATGATCGATTGCTTATTCACTTTATTTGAAAACACCTAAGGTAGCCAACACTGTAAAGAATTAGAATATTAATCACAAACCAAACGAATACTTAAGCATGGACAATCCTACCTGCAGGCCGTCCTCTTTTAGGACTCACTTTCAGATTAACAGATGCTGTTGCTGTTGTCACTATTCCTGCCTCCTCAGGTTCTACTTGTTTTTCTGCCTGAATCATAAAGATGTAAATAAACTTACTTAATAAACAGTATAAATTCAAAACTTACTTCAATGCTAAAAAATGCCACTCTGATAACAAGTATAGACATAATTTCTATATCACCTTTATATCTAAATTATTAGAATGAATTGCTTAAACTTTGCTTGTAACTCCAGTGAACATTTCTTTTTTGGTGGTACTGGAGGTTATATTCAGGGCCTTGTTCTTGACTAAGCAGGTGCTCAATCACGTGCGCCATTCCCAAAGACATTTTTGTGTTGGTGACGGTTGAAATGGTGTCTTCCTTTATGTGCCAGCCTGCTTCCAATCCTCTTATTTGTATAAATAATAGGCACATCCCCAAAAGCCAGCATGGAGCTGTGGGTCAAGTGAAAAAGGGGCTTGGCTTGAGTGAAAAAAAGCTAAGGGATAGAGTCCTAGTTCTTGAGTTCAAGATTTAGTATTGGTGTACACACACACAAATTCTCAATCTAAAAAACAGTAAAGTGTATGTAATATAATGTGAGACTCATACAGTGGATTTGTAATTGTTAATATATATATTTTTTGGGGGGGGGGTCCGGTCATGGGGCCTAAACTCTGGGCCTGGGCACTGTCCCTCAGCTCTTCCGCTCAAGGCTAGTGCTCTACCACTTGAGCCACAGTGCCACTTCCGGCTTTTTTCTTTTTGCTTATGTGGTGCTGAGGAATCAAACTCAGGGCCTCATGCATGCAAGGCAAGCGCTCTACCACTGAGCCACCTTCCCAGCCCATGTATATATTATTTTTAACTGAGACTTAACTCAGTTAAGAGTTAAGACTAATTTTCTCGTAAAGAGAAATGTTTGGGTTGGGAAGGTGGCTCAGTGGTAGAGCGCTTGCCTTGCATGCATGAGGCCCTGGGTTTGATTCCTCAGCACCACATAAGCAGAAAAACCTGGAAGCGGTTCTGTGGCTCAAGTGGCAGAGCACTAGTCTTGAGCTGAAGAGCTGAGGGACGGCGCCTAGGCCCAAAGTTCAGGTCCCATGACCCACACACACAAAAAAAGAATGTAACCATCAAAGAGCTAGGTCCCATTCTCTAACTATACTCCTCATTAATTAGACCAACAAAAATAAGAGCAAGAAAGTGTTCTGAAACATGTACAATCAAAACCCCTTAGTAAAAAAAAAACAAAAAAACTGGTTTTTTATTTATCTGCTTTTGCTTTCACATTGGAACATTAAGGCATGTTCGAAATATTAAAATTCATCTAAGGTAATCCTACAAATATTCCTTCATAACAAGCTTCACAATTTATGAGACCACCTTTCCACATCCCAGTCCTGATTGGTAAATTCTTTTTTTTTTTGGGGGGGGGGGTCGGTCATGGGCCTTGAACTCTGGGCCTGGGCGCTGTCCCTCAGCTCCTCAGCTCAAGGCTGGTGTTCTACCACTTGAGCTACAATGCCACTTCCGGTTTTCTGATGGTTTATTGGAGATAAGAGCTTCACGGACTTTCCTGCCCAGGATAGCTTTGAACTGAGATCCTCAGATCTCAGCCTCCTGAGTAGCTAGAATTACAGGCGTGAGCCACCAGTGCCCAGCTATGATTGTTAAGTTCTGAATTAGGGAACCAGCCACTCAAAATTTTCAAAGCTCTTCCTAGGCTGGTAAGGTAGCTCAGTGGTAGAGTGCTTGCCTTGTACACATGAGATCCTGGGTTCAATTCCTCAGCACCACATAGCCAGAAAAAGCCGGAAGTGGCGCTGTGGCTCAAGTGGTAGAGCGCTAGCCTTGAGCTGAAGAATTAAGGGACAGCGCCCAGGCCCAGTGTTCAAGCCCCACGACCGAGAGGGAAAAAAAAAAAAAAAGCGCTTCCTGATCTGTTGAGAGGGCAGTTAAGTTCTTCAGAATAAAATAACTCACACTATCTCCCCATTTATTAATGGGATGTCTAATGTCCTATCTTCCATTTATCTTAAAGCCTTTCCACACACAAAAACCTCATAGAACTACTGTTCATATATTTCCTCAAGCTCTTTGCAGACTTCATTGTGTGACAAATCCCCCAAAGAGGATTACTATGAATGTGTACCTTGTTATTCCTAAGGTGCTGAACACTACTGGGGAGTATGCTTCTGTTTCATTATACATCAGAATTAGGGTCTCAAAGCCATCCGTTACTCTTTTGCCAAATCTTATCTCAGGCCCTGAATAGCTAGCATAAACTTCTACCATTCTACCTGCCTGCAACCACAGAAAGTGAGTAAGAAAGGGGAGAACTGAGGCCAGAGAAATTTTCAAATTTTCCTAGAATTTGTGTCTATGTGTATGTATGTGTGTGTACTGGGTGGGGCTTTAAATTCCGGACTTTGTGCTTTCATTTAACTTTTTTCATTCACTTGAGCCACACCTCCAGGACAGCATTTTGCTAGTTAAATAAGTGGTAAAATTCTCTGCCCCTTGGGGACTGGGAAGGTGGCTCAGTGGTAGAGCGCTTGCCTTGCATGTCTGAGGCCCTGGGTTCGATTCCTCAGCACCACATAAGCAAAAAGAAAAAAGCCGGAAGTGGGGCTGTGGCTCAAGTGGTAGAGCACTAGCCTTGAGCTGAAGAGCTGAGGGACAGTGCCCAGGCCCAAAGTTCAGGCCCCACGACCGGACCCAATTCTCTGCCCCTCTGGATTTGAACCATAATCCTTAGATCTCAGCCTCCTAGTTAGGATTACAACTATGAACCACCAGCAACCAACTGCCTCTCCCTAGACTATCTCCTCAGAACCTCACTATGTTAAAAAAAGTTACCCACACCTCTGTTTTCTCAAATTAGAGGCTAATACATCTCTCTCCCTTCTTCATCAATTCTCTCATATGTGCTTCTTTTTTCTCTAATCCAGCATATACTTAAGTATTTCTAAGAACTCAATCCACATCCTCAACCAACATCTCTATCCACATCCTCAATCTTTCCTAAGTTCTGTAAAGAAAGATGTTAAAACATCTACTTTATTTTTTTCACTTTAAATACTTTACCTATGCAAATCCCTATATTGCTACATTACCATGTAGTGATATCTGATAGCAGTTTGCCCACAGAAATTGGTATCATCCCCTCAAATTCTGCCACTGCTTTATCAACGAATACATGATTAATAATAATCAGTTACTATTACTAAATTACAATTTAAATATAAATCAACAACTTGTAATTATTCTAAATCCTTTTTCAATAACAGCACCTTCATCAATAAATTCCATTTCAAGAAACCACTTTCTTTGCTCATTTTTTTTTGGGGGGGGTTGGTCGTGGGGCTTGAACTCTGGGCTTGGGCACTGTCCCTACACTTGTTCAGCTCAAGGCGAGCACTCTACCGCTGAGCCATTGTGCCACTTCCAGTTTTCTAGTGGTTTATTGGAGATAAGAGTCGCATGAACTTTCCTGCCTGGGCCGGCTTTGAACCATGATCCTCAGATCTCAGCCTCTTGAGTAGCTAGAATTACAGGCGTGAGCCACTGGCACCTGGCTTCTTTGCTCATTCTTAAGGACAGGCATGAAACAATCTCACAATATATTTCCGTAACTAGGACAACCAAGTACACTGTCGATGAACGTATTTTGAAACTCATCTTTTTTTTTCCTGAGCAATAGGACTCAATGCTGAGCTTTAAATACTCAGAAACCATGTCATGAATTACTGTTGTCATAAATTAAACTTCAGTCACTAGCTCCACTGGACTAACAAGAAAGAGTCAGAGAGTTAGCCTGTTCACGATTTTAAAGGCAACCACTTACTTCTTTCTAATTTTGTACTATAAGGATATTTCCTGAAAATCTTTTGTGTAGACTCTTTCTTCAACAACTTAGCTAGATCTTCTGGGTAAATTCCTGTGCTTGCTACTTTACCTTGTACATTAGGGAGACATAAAAATAATTTATGGAGACAGCTCCTTTCCATAAACCTTTTGAACAAACTTTTGCTAGCTACAATCTGTTCTGCATCTGCCTTTGCAGAATTAATAGTACATTAATGGGTTAAATTTGACTTATGGAAGCACTGCAGGCAGCTGGCTTTATTTCCCCCTCTCCCTCCCTAGGGCCTGGGCTCTGTCCCTGAACCAATCTGTGCTCTATTGAAGCCACAGTGACACTTCCAGCTTTTTCTGTTTATGTGGTACTTGAGGAATCCAATCCAGGGCGGCTTCATGCATGCTAAGCAAGCACTCTATCCCTAAGCCACATTCCCAACCCTGGCTTTATCTTCTACTAGAACACTTCAACTGTCTTCATGACAAGTAGTAAGTTTGTTTCACTTTCTTATCATTCCTGCATTATTTAATTCCCTTCAACATCTTTTAGCATTCACAACTTCACTTACCACCCAAGAAGCAAAGTTTTCAACCTATCTTAACTTTCAACATGGCTTCCTCACTAAACCATTTCTAACTTCTGAACATCTAGAGGAGGGCATTGGACTTTCTGTGTTTCTGGGAATTACAAGAGCCAAGGAAAGAGAGAGACTGGGAATGGCCAGTAGGGGGAGCAGTAAGAACACAAGTCAACTAAGTTTTCTGTCACACATTGGACACGATGTGTGGTAACAAAAAACAAATCATAAACAACATAAAAGACAGCTGGGTGCTGTAATCCTAGCTACTCAGGAGGAGGCTGAGATCTGACGATCGAGGTTCAAAGCCAGCTTGGCAGGAAAGTCTGTGAGATTCTTATCTCCCATTAACCACCAGAAAAGCAGAAGTGGCTCTGTGGCTCAAGTGGTAAAATGCTTGCCTTGAGCTGAGGGACAGCGCCCAGGCCCAGAGTTCAAGCCCCATGACCAACCGCCCCTCCCCCCAAAAAAGAATATAAAAGATGACTGATAGCAAACCACCAGAATAGATACTACAGAAAGTTTGAAATACTAAGAAAATTAACAAAATGAGGGAGACACAAAGTGAGCACATGGAATTGGAAACCAGGTACTAATAAATAACTTGCCCTGGGCTGGGAAGTTGGCTCAGAGGTAGAGTGCTTGCCTTGCATACATGAGGCCCTGGGTTCGATTCCTCAGCACCACATAAGCAGAAAAAAAAAAGCCAGAAGTGGCCTGTGGCTCAAGTGGTAGAGTGCTAGCCTTGAGCTGAAGAGCTAAGGGACAGTGCCCAGGCTCAGAGTTCAGGCCCCACCACCGGACCAAAAAATAAATAAATAACTTGCCCTATGCACATTTGCCATAAACTTTGCTTCTAAGTACCACTTTGTATTGCAAAGCACAATAAAGCAAAGTGAGACAGAGATAAATTATGTTGTCTCTAACCTCAACAAAAGTTAAGATTCAGCTATAATAATGGCTCACATCTGTAATCCTAGTAACTCAAGAGACTAAGATCTAAGGGTTTTTTTTGGGGGGGGGGTTTGGTCAGTCATAGGGCTTGAACTCTGGGCCTGAGCACTGTCCCTCAGCTCTTCAGCTCAAGGTGTGCACTCTAACCACTTGAGCTACAGCGCTACTTCCGGTTTTCTGGTAGTTTATTGGAGATAAAGAGTTTTATGGACTTTCCTGCCCACACTGGTTTTGAACCGAAATCCTCAGATCTCAGCTAGGATTACAGGCGTGAGCCACCAGCACCCGGCTAGATATAAGGTTTGTGGTTTGAAGCCAGCCCAGGCAGGAAAGCCACTGAGCCTCTTATTTCCAATAAACTACCATAAACAAAAAGAAACAGAACTGTGGCTCAAGTGGTATAGGGCTAGACCTGAGCAAAAAAGCTCCAAGACACTGCCCAGTTTAATTCCCATAACTGGCATTTTCACACCCAAAACAATGTAATTCAATGAAAATAGAGACCTAGGCTGGAGAAGGTAGCTCAGTGGTAAGAGTGCTTGTCTTGCATGCCTGAGGCCCTGGGTTCGATTCCCCAGCACCACATAAGCAAAAAGAAAAAAAGCTGGAAGTGGCACTGTGGCTCAAGTGGTAGAGTACTAGCCTTGAGCTGAAGAGCTGAGGGACAGCGCCCAGGCCCAGAGTTCAGGCCCCACAACTGATCAAAAAAAAAAAAAAAAAGAAAGAAAATAGAGACCTATCATCCTTATTCACTGTACACATCCAGCAAATTGTGTTGCTGTCCAATCCCTACCATTACACTGATTTAATAAAGGGGACATCTAAAATTCAAAGGAATTGAATAGTTTCCTATCACTTCTCTAAGCTTTAGTCCTTCCCTCAAGATAGCATTAGGTTTTTACACATTCTCTTTACAAATCTGTTAATAGCTGGACCCGGGTGGCTCACGCCTGTAATCCTAGCTACTCAGGAGGCTGAGATCTGAGGATCGTGGTTCAAAGCCAGACCGGGCAGGAAAGACCGTGAGACTCCTATCTCCAATAAACCACTAGAAAACCGGAAGTGGCGCTGTAGCTCAAGTGGTAAAGCGCTCCCCTTGGGCCGGAGAGCTGAAGGACAGTGCCCAGGCCCAGAGTTCAAACCCCATGACCAAAAAAAAAAAAAAAATCTGTTAATACTGAAATGCAATGCTGAACAATGCAATGCTCACAATTCTCTTTACAAAACTAGATATACAATTTAAATTTCCCCAGATCTCATTCTCCATTCTTCATTGGTACACTTTGTAGCAGGCAAGTATTGAATTTGTCTCCTCCCACATATACAACAGAAGATAAAAAGTTATCTTAATTATGTTCTTGTACTTAACTTCCCCATGAGATAAAGAACTCATTTTTCTTTGCACCTTTGATATATAAAAATCTGAGCCATAAATTATGTCAGAAATAGGGGCAAACAAAATTTCATGTAAGAAGCCATTAGAAGCCAACAAACCTCTAGGCCTACACTGTCACTTCTATTTCTCATTATACGCAATGTTGTGAGACATAACAATAACATAATAGGGACAACAAATATAGCGTGTACCAGTATTTAGTGATCAGGATTTATTATAAACACTTTTCAAATATTAAGTCATCACACTATATATTACTATGTTTTATAGAGAAAACTGAGGCAGCCATAAAGATTAAAATTGGTTCACTCTATTTCCTTTTATCAATCAATAGAGTACCGGCAGGTACAGTACCTATCCTAAGAGTATATCACTAAGAAGAGTTTTGCAAAGTAAACATCATATCCTATCCTTTAAAAAAAAGTTTCATGAAGGATTCCTATCGTTAAGGAAATTACCTTTCTCTTTCTCCCTCTTCTGGCAGCTTTTGGAGTAGTTATGTCAACTGCTTTAGTCACATCCTTCAAAATAAAAAACAAAGTAGATGACACTATATAAATTATACCTTAATATACCAAGTCTAAAAGAAACTTTCTTAAAAGTCACAAAAATGCCTAATGCTAGTGGCTCACACACACCTGTAATCCTAGTCATTCAAGAGGAGATTGAGCCAGCACAGACAGAAAAATAGATAGCCAAATCCTACAGACTCTTTATATCCAATTAACCAGAAAAAAAAAGCAGGAAGTGTTGGCATGGCTCAAGTGGTAGAGCACTAGACGTGAGTGGAAAGTTATCCAAGAGCACAAATCCCTGAGTACAAGCCCCTAACACCAGCACCAAAAAAAGGGCACAAACATGTGTTTGTATTGAAAAGTCTGTTCTGCTGCTCCAACCTTTCAAATAATAAACATTCAATGTCTTAAACATTATAAAATAACAGCCAGTATCTTCCTGGTGTAAGAGGACAAATTTCCACAATTATCTCGGATACAGAAAGTATGCTTAATAGTACACCAGAAATATGTCTATTCAGATTTATAAAATTATCTTTTTCTATAGTAAAACCCTTCCATGTCAGGGTTATAAATTGTAAAAGATGGCCATGACTTCAGAAATCATCTAACAACCACTTTCTGAAGCCTAGAAGAGCTAAATGAATAACACTAACTCAGAAAATCAAAGGTGGAAATCAACAGGGGTTTAAAATTTTTCAGTCTACAAATTCTTTCTGATATAATCCAACTCACAAAGAACTTCTCTTTTAAAAAGAGACTTATGCCTGTAATCCTAGCTACTCAGAAGGCGGAGATCTGAAGTTCTTGGGTTGAAGCTAGCCAGGAAGAAAAGTCCTTGACAGTCCCTCTCCAATTAACCAGCAAAAAAGTAGGCTGGAAGTATAGCTCAAGTGGCAGAGCACCAGCTCTGAGTGGAAAAAGCCAAGCAAGAGCAATGCTTCCATATTTAACCCATTAAAGTACCATTAATTCTGCAAAGGCTGAGAGGTTGGACCTTATAACTCCAAACTTTTGCCAGCTTCAATCTGTTCTGCATCTATCCACCTCCAGATAAATATCCTACATCTAAAGGTATTTTATTTAACATTTACGTAAGGAAATAAGCCTCTAATATTAATTCATTTTCACATATTTTAGAGATTACTTCCTACCTTATGATTAACTCCATTTTCTATTTCTCCCTTGCAATTAAACTATAAAATCTCTGTTAGAATGGAAAGTAAAACATACCTCATTGCTGGCTTTTTCTTCATGATCAGTATCTTCCTTTGAAACACTAGTTTCTTTTTCTTCAATTTCAACATCAGATGATGCGTTTGATTGTTTGGCTGATGCCTATGCATAATAACTCTATTAGTTTCACAAAATGAAACTCTACCCAATTTTCAAAAGTTTCTCATGAAACAAAAGCTTGTCTACAGTAAATTTACATATCTCTAGTATAGACACTTGCACATCAATGTCCACTGCTGCACAATTCATGATATCCAAGTTATGGAAACAGCTAAGATGCCCTATACTGGATAAGTGGACCAAGAGAATGTGGTACAAATTTACAATGGAGTTTTATTCATCTTATCAAATGTCAGCAAAGAAAACATGGGCCAGCTTCCTTTTAGTATTTTTTTTATTATTAAGATTTTTTTGTTGTGAAAATACCATACAGAGGGGTTACAATTACTTGAGCAAGGTAATAAGTATTTTTCTTATCAAGCATTGTTGCCTCCTTTGTTTCTCCTTCCCATCCCTGCCCTCCCATCTCCCCCCATCCCTCTCCCCTACCCCCACCCACCAGCTTCTTGGCTCTGCTACTGTACAATATTTATGGGCTTCTCCTCAGCCATGATGCTATGTGGACTATTTGCATTTGTGTAAATCCACTGCTGAATACTGTAACAAGCATGACCTTATTTCCTCTTGTACTCTACATATTACTGTGAAATTATAATTGTATTCTACATAGTTTGTGACATTTAATCTTACTTATACGGTAAGTACATAACTACACCAAAAAATAAAATTCTATGATTCTACATAATCTTCAGGAAACTGTTCTGGCACTCACTATTCCTGATGTTGAATAAGGAGAAAATGCTCTGAAACTCCTACCAGTGGATTGTTCATGCACTCTGCGAAATTATGGATTTTATGAGAAAAAACAGCTCAAGCATATGTATACACCAGTGAGTAATTCTGACTCCCAGAAGCCCATGATATTGAAATATGGTAACAAAAAGCAACACATTTCCAGATGAGTCAGAGGAAGTCAAATTATTGTCTTGCTATCTTAGTTCCACATTTATATTTTCAGTCACTGTTTTCTTCTATTTTTATGTGTTTTAAAATTACTATTCTAACTTCCTTTACAAGTAAATCTTTTTTTTTTTCCCTTTGGTCAGTCATGAGCTGGGTGCTGTCCCTGAACTTTTTCACTCAAGGCTAGTGCTCTACCACTTGGAGCTATAGTACCACTTGTGGCTTTTGAGTGATTAATTGGAGATTAGAGTCTGCCAGACTTTCCTGCCCAGGCTGGCTTTGAATAGTGATTCTCACACCTCAGCTTCAAAAGTAGCTAGGATCATAGGTGTGAGACACTAGCACCCAGCTAAAAATTTTAAATATTACAGTATGAGTATCTTTATCAGAAATTTTAAAATGTTTCAAAATACCCAATTTTGAGCACGGATTCCCATTAGTGTAACAAATCCAAAAAAATAATGTAAAAATATTCAGAAAACTGGGAAGGTGGCTCAGTGGTAGGGTGCTTGCCTTGCAGGCATGAGGCCCTGGGTTCAATTCCTCAGCACCACATAAGCAGAAAAAGTAGGAGGAAATAGTGCTGTGGTTCAAGTGGTAGAGCACTAGCCTTGAGCTGAAGAGCTCAGGGACAGTACCCAGGCCCAGAGTTCAGGCCCCACGACCAAAAAAAAAAAAAAAAGAATGTCCAATTGTTGCTATGTCATTTTTAGGTTTATTCATGTTCTTCCCAATTTTTACTATCTTAAGTCTTAATAAGTGGACTTTTATTGATGAATGAGAAGCTAAACTTCATAAAGACCTCCTCTCATAATTCTTTGGCCCTATTAGAAAAAAACAGCATGGTTCTAGGATGGTGGCTCAGTGGTAGAGCACTTGCCTTGCATGCCTGAGGCCCTGGGTTCGATTCCTCAACACCACATAAGCAAAAAGAAAAAAGCGGGAAGTGGCGCTGTGGCTCAAGTGGTAGAGTGCTAGCCTTGAGCTGAAGAGCTGAGGGACAGCGCCTAGGCCCAGAGTTCAGGCCCCACGAGCTGACCCAAAAAAAAAAGAAAAACTGGCATGATGATTATACATAGTAAGAATTCTAGGACTTCCATGTGACATGTGACAGTATTTACATGGTTTGAGTGTAAGTGGCAAAATAGAGAAAAACATGTCTAAAATAGCATCAATACTAGGACAGAAAAAAAAATGAAGAGAAACACAGTAATTCCTATTGCATGAGAAAAAATACACAAATTGGGCAAAAAAAAGTGTCAGGGGCTGGGAAGGTGGCTCAGTGGTAGAGCGCTTGCCTTGCATGCCTGAGGCTCTGGGTTTGATTCCTCAGCACCACATAAGCAAAAAGAAAAAAGCCGGAAATGGCGCTATGGCTCAAGTGGTAGAGCGCTAGCCTTGAGCTGAAGAGCTGAGGGACAGTGCCCAGGCCCAGAGTTCAGGCCCCACGACCAGACCCCCCCCCCAAAAAAAAAAATTAAAGAGAAAAAGAAAACTTGGATACACGCTATAAAAATCCTGAACTGAAGCTGGGCGCCAGTGGCTCACGCCTGTAATCCTAGCTTCTCAGGAGGCTAAGATCTGAGGATCACGGTTCAAAGCCAGCCCGAGCAGGAAAGTCCATGAGACTCTTATCCCCAATAAAAACCACTAGAAAACCGGAAATGATGCAGTGGCTCAAGCAGTAGAGCGTGCTCACCTTGAGCTGAAGAGCGCAGGGACAGCACCCAAGCCCAGAGTTCAAGCCCCACGACCGACCCCTCCAAAAAAATATCCTGAACTGAACATAGCATATATGTATATATGTGAAATAACATGGCAAAATTCCTTTGTGTAATACACACTTTAAAAATGAATGATAGGATATACAGGTGGATCTGATGCAACAATGGGGGGGGGGAAGGGG